CCGCCGCTGGCCGCACGGGGGCGGCGGCTGCGGCCGCCGCCGGCGTCTCGTCCCCGCCCGTCGCCGGCGGCGCCGCGCCCGGGGCTCGTGCGTCGCCAGTTGGCAGGCGCTGGGAGCCGCCCGTCGGCGCTGGCTCAGTCGCGGCCGGCTTGCTCGAGGCCTGCGCGGCCACGGCCGCAGCCGCGGGGGCGCCACCCGCGGCGGCGCCGCCGGCCGTCGCGCCGGCGCTGGCCGACCCGGGCGTGTCGGGCGCCGCGGGTGAGGCGTAGCTCGACGCAGAGCTGGAGGCGCCGTTGCCGTTGCACTCGACGCGGCTCGCGCCCGGGCCCTTGAAGCAGACAAAGTCGTTTGCCGCGAAGCAGTCCTTGAACCCGCCGCCGGGCGGGCAGGCGACCGCCCTGAGCGCCGAGCCATCGCCAGGGCAGCCGTGCTCGCGCTGGGCGGCGCACGTGTCGGGGCGGCAGGCGCCCCGGGGGTCGCAGAACTGGCCGGCGGCGCAGCTGCCGCCGCAGGCGTCGCGGGGGACCCACGCGTCTATGCCGGGGAACAGTCCCTGCAGGCCGCCCAGGAAGCCGGGCGCCGCAGCGCCGGCCGGCAGCGGGGGCGCGCACGGCGCTGGGTTGCCCATTGGGTCTGCGCAGGCGCTGCCGCCGAGGCAGGGGCCCCAGGAGCACCCGTCAGCGCAGGGGAGGCTGCCTGGGGGGCATGAGGCGGGCACGCCCGCGGCGCCCGCCGCCACCAGCGCCAGGCACAAGGCGGCTATGTGCAGCCTGCCCATCGTCATGTATTGTTGCACCAGAACGGCCCCAATCACCCAAGCTTGGCAGCAGCCCGGGACACAATCGAAACGAAGGTGATTACTGACACTTCCAGCAACCACGGTAAGGTATACAGCTCAAGCTGTGTGGTTGTCTTACGAACACGAAAGTATAGGGGGGGTAAGTATGGGTACCTGAGCCTGCGAGGGAGCTTCTCCTCCACCCCCTGACACGAGACAATGAAGGTGGGGGCCCGCGATGATCGATACCCTCACAGCCGTTGACGCGGTCACGCATGCCGCCATAAACAGCAGTATACGAAGATGTTAGCCCGCTGGATGCTGTGTGTCACCCGCCATGCTGCCGGGCTCGGGCTGCCCTGGCGGTCAACCCTTGCACGTCACAAGGTGCAGCATAGCCTGCTCATCAACTCACGCACACTGCCTTCTGGACACGGTTTTGAATCTTTGTGTGCTGCGCAAAGCCTTTGAAAGATATCCGTCAATACTCGGTCAGGCGCAGGTGCCAGTCTGCTAGCGGCAAACACCCTCGGCACGAAGCGCCGCCGCCTTCCTCTCGTCCCATCCGATGCGCGAGCACCGCATCAGTCCACACCTGCGGCGCTGCATCTCTTGAAGCTGAGCAGAGCCTACGAGAGAACCTTCGCCAGCAGGGTTACCGAATAATGAATAAGCTACCAGGAATCAAGGCAGCTGCAGATGCGAATTACGGACAGGGTGTGAACGCAACCACGAGTGCAAGCCGCCAGAGGTGTGCAGAGTCTGGGCATGGGTGACACCGTGAATTGCATCATGTTTCATGCACAATCGTAACAAGAAGTCACCAAGGAAGTCAAATGGATCGGACGCGCACTCGCACAGGCAGCCGCATCAGCGGCGGCGGGCCGCTTGCGCCGGCGCCTGCAGTACAGTAACGGCACCGCTTACACGGACTTTCATTGCGTGTTCCTGCCCCACTCCATTTAGCAAGCGCACGGCGGTTTTGCAGGTGTCCGCTGGTTTGGCCGTGCAAGCCCATAGTCAGAATTCTGCTAGCGGGCCAGGTGATGGATGGCAGGCAGGTCAATGCTGGGCAAAAACCTACAATGTTAGCATCACTAGTGCTTGCACGAAAAGGGGCCGTGGCCACCTGTTGCGGTGCAAGTGATGTCATCTTTGAGCATTTAGATGCATCCCCAAGACACCAAAAAGATAACAGGGCCAGTGGGCTCTGGGCGCCGTGCCGCGGGGGAGGGCAATACAACTCTGTTGGATGCTTCATCGCTGATCGCTCGTGAGCTCGGTAACGCAAACCCGCGGGGCATCGTGCGCTTGATGCCGCACGAGTTGGGCTCGCGCCCACCCCTCTCATCTGAAAGGTCGGAAACGGGAGCCTTGCGGCTCGCGGCACCTCAGGTTTGTGTGCGTTGCCGACAAGAAGGGTCGGCGGATACCGCGCGCTTGCGCAGGCGCTGAATCGCGCCGTTCAACCGGCAGCGAGGGCGCGAGCGGGTGCCTGCGACCAGGCGCGGCGCAAGCCGGCGCGGCGGCAGCGGCCGCGGCGGCCGCAGGGCCCACGTTCTGCCGGCCCGCCCGACGCTCCAAGCGGAGGCGGGGCCGTCGTCGAATTGCTCCGCGCCCGCGCGCCAGCCCGTAGCTGCCGCGCTCCTTAGTAACTGTCGGCGGTGACAACTGCCTGGTCCCCAGAGTACTCTTTGCCGTCCTTTGCGCCGCTGGCACGGCCTTGCATGTATGCTTCCCAGTTGTAGGCCATGGCCATGCGGCCCATCACGAAGGGGGTGGCCAGCAGGGCAACGCTGACAAGCTCTGGCACAGGGCTCATGCCTGCGGCCGTCCAGGGCGGTGGCACGTGGTGTGTATGTTGGTGTCAGTGTGTTGATGCTTGCGCCAGCATTCATGTGAGCATGTGAGCATGTGTGCATGTGCGCATATGGGTGGGTGGGTGGGTGCACGTGCACTTGCACACGCGTGCACACGTGCGCTGCGCGCTTGCGCCTTTGGCGCAGCACAGCCTCAGTCACAGAGCCTCGCCCCGGCCCTGGCCCCGGCCCGCACCCCACCCCGACCCCTTATGCATGAACCCAGAGCGCGGCGCAACGCCCACCATAGAAGTGGCCCTCATCAAGGAGGGCGTCAGCGTTGTAAAGGGAGTCGACGCGCTGCGCCGCCGGCACGACCAGCACCAGAGCCGCCGCCAGGAGCAGCAGTATCTGTGTTTTTGGGGTGGAAGGGGAGGAGGTGCCCAAACAATCGTTTGTGTGCGTGTATGTGTGCGTGTTGGGGGGACCCAGGGGGGAAGGAGGTGCAGTACAAGTGTGTGTGTGTGTGTGTGTGTGTGTGTGTGTGTGTTGGTCAGAGGAGCGGATGGGTGAAGTGGGGATGTGTGTGTGAGGGGGTGCGGCGGCACGGATGTGGGTGAGGGGGAGGACGGCAGCAGCAGCAGCAGCATATGGCACGTCTGGTACACGAATGATGTGTGTGTGTGTATGTGTGTGTGTGTATGGGAGGTGGATTTTGAAGGCGATGCATGCGATGAGACAGGGGCGCGCTCGGCCAGTCGCGCGGGCAAGCCTCGAGGCTGCAGGGCACGACAGGCGCGTCTCGGCTTGGGCCGGCAGTTTGAAAGCAGCCCAAACGCCGGCGCACGCGCACGGCAGGCCCGCACTGCACCGCACGGGCGGCCGGTCCTTCGTGGCTCGTGAGAGCGGCAGCCTGGCCACTCCTTGGCAACGAGCCCCCCACGAGGTCCTCCAACCTTGCTCGCCCAATCCCGTTGCCCGGCCCGCCTCACCTGGGAGTGGACGTCGTGCCACACGGTTTCAGGCGCGCCGCTGGGCGCGCCGCCCTCGACCTGCCGGCGGCGCGCGCCGATAAATACGCAGGCCGCGGCGAAGGCGGCGAGCAGGACGACGGCGATGACGGCGGCCGTGAGGGCCCAGGTGGAGGCGTAGCGGACGCCATTCAGGGCAACCAGCCACTGGCCTTCTTTGGGGGCACCGTAAAGGAAGCCTGTGGGGCGGCGGTTGCATGCGGTATGTGTGTGTATGTGGGGGGGACGGGCGGGGTGAGAAGGGGAGGGAGGAGAAGGAGCGCAAGGGAGGCCCAGCCGACGGGCAGGGCGGCGACTTTGGAGCTGCACTGTGGCATCGGCCGCCGCGCCGCAGCAGGCGTTGGCGCGCGTCAGGCGGACCGCTTGACGCAAGGGCGCGGTGGCATGGGGCACGGACGGGTAAGGGCCGTGGTGCTGGGGGGCGGGATCGTCCCGACCTGCGAAGATTGCGCCCAGGATGGGGCCAGATATGATGACGATAGGCACCAGGGCGCGCGCAAGCACCCCCGCCGCCGCGGCGACGCGCGGGCCGAAGGGCTTCGCCCATGGCGCCGCGTTCTTGAACCTGGGAACGGGCGGGCGGAGGCGGAGAGATTGGGGGCGGCGGATCAGGTCAGTGCGACCCGAGGCCCACGCGAAGACCGTCTGTGCGTGTGGGCGGCCGCAATCCGAGCCGCCCTGCCGCTTCGCGGGCGGCTGCTCCGTTTTGGCACGTCACGGCGATGCACTGCCTGGAGGCGTCTACAGGGCACGTCCTTTCCAGGGGCTGTGACCTGTGAGCGCCCCAGAAGGGAGCCTCCACGAACTCACCAGGTGACGAGCACGAGGGCGCACACGCCAATGGCCATGCCAAAACCGGCCGCCCGCAGCGCATGAAAGCCGGCCTCCCGCCCGCCCGCGCCGGCCCTGTCGAGGCCGGGCGCCTGTGCTGCAGCGTGCAACGCGAACGCGACGCCGCGGAGCACGACAGATGCGAGGAGGAGGAGGTAGATGCGGAAGCGGGTGCGGCGCAGGCTGTAGGCCACGGGCAGCGCGAGGAGCAGGAAGGCGGCGGATATGACGGACGCCGCGGCGACGGAGCCGTGAGGGATGGCGAGCAGGGGGTTGGATGGCGCGGCGCCGGCGGCGCCGGCAGGGGCGGCGGAGGCCATGGATCCTGCGGGCGATGC